TCCTCTTGTGACGACAACGTGGCGTCATCCTTCTCGCATGCTGTCATCGAACTTTCAGCTTATTATGATTATTATTATTATCGAACTTACAGTTGATTATAGGACTCCTTCATGTACAGCATCATCGTCCGATTTCCATTTTCTCTTGGTCTCAATCATTTTCTATCCTAAGCTCTTCCCTCTTGTGATGACAGCGTGGCGTCATACTTCCCACATGCTATCATCGAACTTTCAGTTTCTTATTCTTATTATTATGATTATTATTCTTCTTATGATTATGATTATGATATATTGTGTGATGGTAGCGGGGATGGTAGGAGTTGTAGGATTGATTTTCCTTTTAGATACGTTGACCGCCTTGGCGGAGGTGCGGAAACATTTTCTGGGAGTTCAGAGTTTTTGTTGAATGAGATAGAAGTTTATCTTTTAAAGTAAAATATTAGAAACTTGAAATCGAAAGATTTAAAACTGGGCATGCAATGGGACGAGATTCTCGAAGGAAAGGATGTGGATGAGATTTCGGGTACCATTAATATAAAACAATGTGGATTTTTTTTGGCAATCTATTGTTTCCTTGTGTAGAATGTGGGTTTATTAATATGATCCCTAAAATTACTGCAAATCATATTTGCAAGGGATACGCTGACTTTATGGAGCAAAACGGTCTTTATCAGTTTTGTCGAGGGCTGCAGGTAGTTTGAGCCGGAGTGATTGTTTAAATTTCGTGTACGTTTCGGCTCATTTATAGAGAATGGTGTTTACACGATAAAAATAGACCATCACATTTAGGAAATAACTTGGAGAAGCCAACGTTTTTGCACGAAACCATATCGGTTTGAGGCAAAAAGCTTTTTCAAGCAACAAGTGTACAGGCTAGACTCTCTCGTCCGAAATGGAACGTCACACGGACTGGACAAGCACTTGAATAGCGATTAATTGCAAGAATAGCGCTCAAGTTTAATTTTACTGTTGAAAATTCTAGTCACGCACATATCACGTATAGCTCAGAAGCTGACTAAGATCAAAGGTCCTTCTACGTCCCATTTCGAAAGAGAGAATGTAACATTTACAGTTGTAGGCTGAAGAAGTTTTTTCCATCAAACCGGCCTGGTTTGGCGTAAACACATTTGATCTTTCAAGATATTTCCTAGATATGATAGTCTATTTTCAGTCGTTTTTGTGCGGATTTCTGTAGCAAAAAGATGAAACTCTAAAGAATCTAATAGTCTGAACTTTTTCTTTTTCAGTGTACTGTTCTGAGAGCTTGGTCAGTCAGATCCTTTACTTCTGGTATTTAAAAAGTTAAGAAAATGTAGACATGTTTTTAAGCATTAGAAAATTTGGTGCTTGCTCCGCGCTAAACCAAATTGGATAAAAATTGGGTGCCAAATGCAAAATTTGCCGGTGAATCCGACAGCGGGTTCCTTATAATTACATCTTTACTTCTTTTTCGGCGTCGACATAATCAACGTGGTTTTTTGCCTAAATTTATTTTTCTCGTTGATTGAAAAGGTACCAATGAGAAAAGTAAAATTTAGGCAAAAACCACGTTGATTATGTCGACGCCGAAAAAGAAGTGAAGATGTAATTGTAAGGAACCCGCTGTCGGATTCACCGGCAAATTTTGCATCTGGCGCCCAATTTTTATCCAATTTGGTTCAGCGCGCAGCAAGCATCAAATTTTCTAATGGGGAGACATCTCATTTTCTTCAGAAATGTTTAATCGACACGATGAACGTATTTGTAAAGAATTTCTAGATTGAACTCGAGGACTTGGTTTTCTGAAATTCGGGGTTTCCAGAGACCCCGATTTTAGAGGTTTTGATGGAACCCCTGTATACACTACCTGAAATTGGAAATTCTTTTAACTGTTCAAACCTTTTTTCAAATTTATTCTAGCTGTTATGGTCGACGAAAAAAATGATAAATAAAAGTGGCGAACAATTCTTGGACTGACTGTGGGATTAAGTGGCGAAGTATTTAATACACAAAAACCGCTGCCAAGCTTCGCTAAATTTTCGATTAACACATGTTGTAGAGCTTTACAAAGCGCATCGAATGATGTACGAATGATTAGAGATCCTCTCCAGTTTCATAGAGAAAAGCGATTAAGAGTTCCCTTGGTATAACCACGAACTATGGCAAAGTCTGTTGTGGTCAGATGAAGTCTCTAGACATTGATTTTCGGCTTGAGCGATACACCATTAGAAAGAGCGCTGTGTAATCTATCTCCAATGTAAATAGCTTATTGGTTTAAGGTTTCTAGGTATACCTTTGACAGTCAACTAGTTGGAGACGGGAAATCCTTCAGGTTATTGGAGGTTTCAGGGCCGAAGTGTTGTCCAATCAATTTGATTCTTACACATTTGGATAAAGCACAGTGAATTACATATAGACAAAGTCATTCAGATCATGACAGGCCCTTCTCATGGCAGCTGAGAGTGAGTCAAAAACTCTAGAAAACCGGTTTTCGACCCATTTTTCGTTTCGGCTGCCGTTTCACAGAGAAGCATTTTGCTGAACTGTGAATGCGATTTCTGTGATCAGTATTCAATTTTGAGTCAGAAAGGTCCCTGAGGGGACCTTTGCCGTAAAATTTTTCGAAAAACATTTTTTTGCGAATTTGATTGATCTGAAAATACAGTTTTACTCAGAATTCGACGTTGATTCCGAATATGTATAACTCATTGTGTAATTTTTTAGGCACGAAACCTTACATTCTGCCACTTGTTCTTTATTTAATAAACTTTGTAAAAAGGCCAACACTAATAATTAACAATATATAAACAGCTACAATTTAGAGCCGTTTAGGATGCTTAAAAAAAGAAGCTCACTATCCTAAATAAACTTACAGATATTCAGTAGAAGAGTACACAAAAATTCTCCGAAAATGTTACATTTCACTCTCACTGAGCGTGGTAAGCCAGTTTTAAATCATAAAGGTTATCAATATACTAAAAAACGAGAGCATAAAACTTGGAATGAGTGGCGTTGTCGTGATAGACGTTGTACAAGTTCAGTACCATTATGTTCACAAGACAAATTAATTATTCGTGAAGAAACAGGTCATACATGCACACCAAATACAAACAAAATTATTATTGATGACGTTATTGGTCAAATGAAGAAGCGAGCACGAGAAGAAACAATTCCAATTCCCAAAATTTATTCTGAAGAAGCGGTTAAAGCTAGAGTTGAAAACCCTGGTCTAGCTACAGGTACAATATTTCCATCACTCGATAAAATTGATGCCAGCCTTTATCGACGTCAGGCATAAAATTATCCAAAATTACCAACAACTGTTGAAGAAATTAATTTAATTGGAACATGGAGGTTAGATAATAATGGTGGTGAATTCGTATTAGTTGATGAAAACTGTAAGTAATTTGAAATATTATTTCAATAAATCTGTTTTGCAAGTTTTTATTTACTTCTAGACGGTGATGACTGTTTAATGATTTTTGGTTCAGAATGGAGTATTCATTTTTTATCATCATGTTCGCTCGGATTTATACATATCAGACAATGTTAATGCTACTGAATTCAATGTTTATTTAGTTCAAACCTATGTAGATAGGGATATTAATTTATATGGGATTAATATATGGAATGTGCATGATGCAATAATTAATCAAGGACAAACAATCGTGTTGAGGGGTACAATAGTCGTTTGGGAAGTAATTTTCCGAAACACCTACATATTTATCATTTTATTGAATTGTTACGTGATGAACATTTATATCAACATCATAGAGCTGAAGAATCAGATATGCAAATAAGGAAACCCAAAAAATTATACTATAATATTGATAGTAAGTTAAAAGAATTACATGAAGAACACAAAAGGAACAATAACGAATGTTGAACTGGCTATTAAATGTGGTAAAGCTGTTAAAACAACCCGAATTAAAATATGATATCTTCACGAATAATTGGTTTGTCTTGTGGGCATAGTGATATTGTAGTTGTTTATATATTGTTAATTATTAGTGTTGGTCTTTTTACAAAGTTTATTAAATAAATTTAAAAGCCGAATAATTTAGCCTATGCGTGCATTTGCGGGACGAATCGAGAATGGACGAGTTGAGAATAAAAATTTACGAGGGATGATTTGAGAAATCAATTAGGGATCAATCGAGGCTAGAAGTTTAATTTCAATGGTTGAAGTTTTTAGAAATTTTATCGTTAATGTTATATTTTTGAACCAAAAAACGACAATCTTGTAATTAAGCATAAAGAATAATAGATTTCGAAAGTTTATTTTCGGGAACAAGAGTAAAAGTTCGATTTTTTGGAAAACTTTTTTTAAAAAAATCCCATAGAAGAGTGCAAAAACTTGAACAGCAGAGGTGGTGGCAGGGGTGGCGAGTGGTGAAAGTGAGCCACTCGACAACATTCTAGCAATGAAACGACCAAAAACTGAAGTTCTTAGTTGATACCAGAAAACTTAGTATAACATCAGACTTGCAGTTTATGTCGGGCTACAAAAATATAAAATTAGTATATTTGTTTGCATATATCTGTATATAGAATATTCTTTATGTTCAGTTGTATACTAATAAATTAAACTTCTTTATATTCTTTTTCTTGTCTGTTTACTCATTAATTGGTAATCATTGCTAATTAATTGCTATATATTCTTCTAATATATATTTTCTTTAATTTAAAGTTTCTTTAATTAATTTTGTGAACAAAAGTATAATTTTTTGATAATGATTTCGATAGAAAGAAACTTGACGATCAAAACAATCTTTTTTTAGCGATCAAAAAAATCCAATATCCCTTTAAATTTGATCATTTCTGCGCTTTTCGTATAGGCAAATATATTGAAACGACACCAAACATTAATTCGAGAAGTCAGTATATAGATGAAATATATAGATGAAGCTAAAAAACGAAAAACGAAAAATTAGAATTCTCAAAAAAAAATAAGATTCTACCTCCTTTTGAAACTATAATTCTCGTAGAGCAGAGTAAAGTTCTCGTTTGAGTGACTCTTATGAGTGCTTGAACTTGTGATGCGTGTGCTATGTATTTGCATTGTCATCGTTTATGAGGAAGTAGAATTCTCGTTTGAAAAGTTGAAATTCCTTCCTCGCATTCATGTAACAAAACAAGCAACTGCCAAAGGCGATTGCCTAGCGTTTGGTTAGGGATGAGGATCGCTGATACCGTTAGAAGAAGGAAGATCGATGAGGTCAAGAACCTCATTCTATAAATACGTTTTCAGTGCCTGTCGTTGTTCTTAATATGGTCCTTAATATAATTTTGCATGATTTTTAATTTATAGACTATGGCAGCATACTTTGTGTTTCGAAGGGGAAACGTATTAAGAAGACTGTTCGTAATAGAAACAGTCACCAAAACGTTTTCAGATTGTGTACCGTATGCGGGACTATTTGTTGCAAAATGTAGAACAAGATTGGTACTCATATTATGAGGTTGGTTACTACAACTGTGAGGTTTAATTAATACCGAGTATCCCAAAAGTCCAAATGAAAAACAAACTTTAATAACTCCATCATTTCTTAACTAAACTTCAAGGTTGTGTCTTTGCTTAATGGAGAAAAGTTTCAAGTTTTATTTGCTGTGTTTGGACATTTTTGTTAATACTTGAAAGAATTGTTCGGGTTTATTATAGTAGGACTCAAGTTTTTAGAATCTTTTCCTAATAGATTATCTACTGAAAAGACCCAAGTTTTAGAAATCATCGGTGCTATCTTGTGTTGATACAAAAACCAAATTTATTTATTATTAATATCACATTTAATAAGCTTGACACAATAACAAAAGCGGCTAATTATTTTGTTATGTGAAAGGGTTCCACGTTTTTCAGTAGATAATATATTAAAAAAAGATTCTAAAAACCTGAGTCCCACTATAATAAACCCGAACAGTTCTCCCAAGTATTAACAAAAATGTCCAAACACAGCGAAACTTTTGGTAGATACGTTCCATTTACCCCATGCAGACAGATACAGCAAATGTTCTAACTTCCCACTTGTGGGAAATAAGAACGTTTCGGACTTTCCTCCAGTAAAACTGCTACCAAACTTTTTGCTGGTAAGATTTCCAATTGATTTTTGCACCAATCGGTGCCTAACACCTTAGTCTACAACTTCTGCATTGAAAATTTTGTGAAAACTTCTAAGCTTTCAAAGTTATGAGAAAAATAGTTGCGGTTTCTCCGCAAAATCTTGGTCGAAATGAAAAAAGAAGATCATATTCGAGATTAGCAGATAAAACTGCATGTAGCGATGTGATTTAGAACGAAAAATAAAATCCACTAAAACTTCTAATTACTGGCGCTTTACACTAATCGTGTTGAAACAGAAAAAGTACTAAAGTAAACTTCTATTACATTTTAACAATGTCAGTTGAGATAGATTGTTTTTCGTAAAACCTGCTCTTTCGGGTCTAATCAAAAAGCCTGATTGAGAAAAAATACTCTCGATAGACGCCGATGTAGCTGAAACACACAGAAGCTTTCCAGCTAACTTACTGGGACTTGGATAGATTGGACTCGAAATATCAAAACTCACGTTCGAGTCTGAGTCCTTCAAAAACACTTCAGTCCAAGTCCACCGAATAATCTTCCAGTCCGGACTCGCCCAGCCCTAATATCTAGTACTAGGGGTATTCTTGAAGAACATATGATAAAAAAATTGACGTTTTCTTTGCATTTTCTGTTTTTGAACGGAACGAAAAATATAGTCTACATCGTTTGAATAAAATTTTAAAAATACAGGAAAGAGGTCGTTTTTATCGTACGCCCTTTAGAAATATCCCACACAGAAAATTTACTAAAAAGAAGCTACAAATGTAGACAACCTCGACACGTCAAAAAAGTAAATCTTTATTTCGCTCATGATCTAAACCAAAAGTTATCCATAAGCAAATCAGTTTCAAAGAACAAACAAGCGGACACTTTGAAATGTTCTCTCGTTATTAGATATTCTTGTAAGATGTCGTTTTAACTGTTTTTTCGAATTTAGTCTTTCGCCTGAGTTTAGAAGTCATTTTGCTGTGAAAAAATATTGATTTTTTGGAAATAGGCCGAAATAAGCAAGATTTTCTTTTTTCTACTATAAGAATTGCTAAACTACTTTACCAAAAAAATACTGCTGAGGAATAGTTGAAACTAATCATTCACCCATACTGTTTCATTTTCATCCCATAAAGTTGAAAAGAACTATCCAAGCAAAAGGATTTCTCCTAGAGATCACTCATACCCATTTTCTGATTCGTCATATTCGATTACCTACGCTGTTCCATCATAATCTCCTATAACCATAAACTTTGCTGGTTAGTGCATTTTTATGTTATATTGACGCCGACATTTGTTTCATATGACCCTAGACTTCCAGTCAAAGGAATATTTCACTTAGATCAACACGTGCAATATTCGAATATTTTAGTATATCTTTCAAATCTGAAATCAACGATTCAAGGTATAACAATGCCAGCTTTAAAACAAAGGTGTGTGTCTATATGTTTGAGTGTCGAATGTTATTATCTTTTGGTATTTGTTCACTTATCTAAGGGAATGTTAATTTTGCACTTATTCATGATTCAACAAAGTCTGACCGTCAGTTATCGCAAAATCAGCTTTTTATACGCTGAATCGGATCAGTTCAAATTTTTTCCTGAATAGCTTATTGAATGAATGTGCGGGTAGCAAAGTATCTCTTTATTCAAATCGCTTTTCGCATTTTGGCGCGAATAGTGGCGCCATTTTACGCGTCAAAATTTCAAGTTTACGATTCGCAACTTTGTTAAGTGACATATGATTGATAGAATAGCAGATAAATTAGTTGCCGCGATTTTCTATCATTTGTGATCGAATTGCCAGACTCAGGACATGAACAGTTAGAATTGTCCGGAAAGTAGAACATTCGTGAGCAAAGGCTCATAAAGGTCCTCCTGTCACATAGCGATTTTTACTCACCTTGAGACACTTTCTGAGGGTGTTACTCAGTCTAAGTTCCTCACGTCTAGGAATATGAACGATACGGTCGTCAAGGTTTGATACAGTGAATAACGAATAATCTTTCGTTTCGTTCGTTCAAAGCTTAGGTATTACGACCCATCTCTAGTAGCAACTAAGTAATGTTAGACCCCTTTCAAATTGTACGAAAAGAGGTTCATCCTCTTGTCGTCCAAGCCGTTTTTTTTTAGTTCTATGACGCTATAGCGTCTGTGTCATATTGTGTATGACTAATGAGAAAAGAATCATAAACGCGTGCATGACAAATGAACAAAATTTTACTAAAACATTGCTTAAACATCACTGAGACATTAATGAAATTTCATTCTCATTCATCCCATGAAATAGGTAATGCGTTCTGTTCTTACACGATAGGAAAGTAAAACTTTTTATTACTATATTTTTACTTTTACTTTATTTTTTCTGTCAAAAGTACAGAAAAGAAAAAAGCAAAGACGTATGATGCGAAAGAAATATAACATTAGTTTTTTGCTACGACTCTTCATCTCTTAATATCAGCTACTTATGTTATTATAGCCTTACTTTATTCTTACTTTCACTCTTTCTCTCTTATCACGTATATATCAATAAACGCATATTTGTTATAGAGAAATGACCCTTTTACATTTGATAAAGAAATTCGAAATCGATCAAATGACTTTTGGATTTCGTCTTTTTCTCAGTGTTTAGTATCTCTTGTTATGCCTGATACTTACTGAAGATAAAATAATAATAATTACAAGAAAAATATGGCATTTTTCTCTGATACACGCGTCAACATAGTTGTTTCATACATTTTTTTTAAAACAAATTGATTATCAAAGTAGCTAAACCTTTTTAGAGTAGACTTTTACACAAATTGGTTATGTGTTCGCTACATTAAAATAATTAATTATTCAAATTATATATTTTACTAATGGTTTTGTTTGATTTTGAGATTTTTACGTTCTAAGAAGCTTCAAACATTCTTTTCAAAATCTTCTTCATGGATAATGAATATGAGCTTCGTAAGCTTCTCCTCGACACACAATTTGCATTGTCAGACAATGATAAAGACTATTTAGTATTTGTAATTGGATTGGATATTGGAAAACATTTACAAAATAGTAAATTAGTTCACGTGTTTGAAGCATTAATTCAACGAAACAAAATTTCATCAAACAATTTAAATTATTTAATTGAACGATTAGAAACAATAAAACGACCGGATGTGGCACAATATTTAAAAGGTTTTTAGATGACAAAGAGTATTATCATTTGTATCTCAAAAAGTCTTTTTTTTTATGTAGAATACAAACCATCACTTTCGAGAATCGAAAACAATTTTTCAAGTTCAAAAGATATTCTTTCAATGTTAAATGACGAACAAAGCCAACAAATCGACTCCAATTTACAAAATTCTCTCGAAGATAATTCATTGGATCTACCATGTTTGTATCATATGCAGTTTATATTTTATGAGTTTCTCAAAATTCACTACAGTTGTGATATTTTTATGGTGTTGATACTGAAATACTGAAAAATAGTTATTATTCAGGGCATTAATTCACCTAGAAGATTTCGATTGATCAGACTTAAATTGTCATCACACATAGTCAAAACCAAAATTTGAGGTTTTTACTATTGTTCAGAACAAATGTGAAAAAAACATATTGGCTTATCAGAAAACGTTTTCGAGAAAGAAGTGATATATTTGTAACACTGAAAACATAGCCCTCAATCTTGTCTGTTTGTGGTAAAACATCAATTCTGATCTATTAAAATCTTTTAAGTCGAATACTACTGAAAAATGAGCCAAAGGCGAAAGAAAACCACTCTACAGTATGTGTAACAAGCAAGACACGTCATTTTTGTCTAGGAAACTCACTATAACTTTACCGTTAACGCTCCAATTTAGATGAACAGATAAGAGTTGAAAAATATGGAAAAAATTATTTATTTTCTTTGGAACTAGTTCATTCTAGCGTCGTTGTTGAATGATACGTTTATGCATCGTTTCGGATGAAAAATAATAAAGCTTTCTAAACTATAGTTTTAAATATATTATTTTAGCGCTTGAAATATCACCATCACCTTTATCATCAAATTTAATCAATACTCATGACCTTGTTGACATTGATGAAGTGCAAAATACAAATAATACATATGAAGATGAATCGTCTGAATTATCTAGTACAAAGTTGTTACAAGGAGTACCGAATCAATATCTATCGTTAATAAATCGTACTGATAGTCAACGAAATATAGTTATTGACGTGGAATCTTATCATAGTAGTGGATCAGTTTCTTGTTGGTTGACAGAATATTATTATTTGAAAAAAGCTGAAGAACAATCGATTAGCAATTCATTGCCCTGTTTTTTATCATTTTGTCTGGTACTACCGAATTTAAGTGGTCAACTTTATTCTTTATGTCATTCTCGTCATCTAAAATTAATAAAAGATGATGACAACCTAAAGCAAGAGCTAGTATATTATATCGAAAAGAAGCATAAGAAGTCTGCAAAGACAATCGGTTTGTACAAAGCAAATAAACTTATAAATTATTTACAAACTCACAGAATACTATTGGATCAGATTGATCTGATCATATTCAATGTTTGTACATGTCGATGTATAAACAATAAAAGTAATGAGGATGAAATGCAATCTTATATCACATTAATGAAATATCTTAATGATTTACACTTATCAGTTGATCAAAAACCAAGGGTCATTGTTATCAGAACAAAACCGTATCAGGAAATATCACTTTGGGATGAATTAATTTGTACTTACAATCAACACTAATAAATATCTATATCCAGTTTTATCGGTACTATCCAAGGTGTTAAGTACATCAAATCTGATTCATTTATAGTCCACCCATTGATAACTCTTCTTTTCGTAGCAATAAATAAAATCCAAAACTGTTCTACTGTGTTTGAACTTCAAATACAAATGTTTTTAATGTGCGAATGCAAATTAAACAATTAAAACTCAACCAACTTTGTGATGCTTTATGAATAAAATAAACAAATAAATAAAACTTAAGCTAAATAAACATATTGTTCATATACTGTTTAATTATGATCAATAATCTGATAAACACCAGATGCAATTATACTAGGCAAGATATCACAGGTCTGTTTACACACAGTTGCAAAATCCAAATGTACGGTGTTGGAGGGCGAATACCATCAGTAGTCCGAAGTTATGCGCAGTACCAACAGCACAAGATGGTAATGTTATGTGCTTTTTTAGTGTTTTTCATTTCAATAATATTCAAGTTTCATATAGATCTAATGATTTTTTGTAGTTGTCTATCAGTACTAATATTCTTTAGTACCGACGCACATCGAATACATCCCTTTAAACTTATACTTTGTCGTAATTTCGATGCCGATATGAAGTGCTCTACGGCTAGATTAAACTGATTAGTGTTATAATAAATTGTCCTGTAACATCTTCCAAATCTGCAATTAAAGAAATCTTTTGCAGTGAAAATCTTTTAGATATTTTCAAGAACCATTCAGAATATTCAATGGACTTATCATATTCTCGTTTCTGAAAGTATTACCGTTCACTAGGCTGGGATAAATCAGCAATCTCTGATTCAGTTTCTTCTTTGACGATCGGTAATTTCTTCATGAAATAGTTTGTGACGGAATCAAGTCCATTAGTTTTGGAGTACAACCAATCTATTTTTGAATTTATTTCAAAAGTCCTCTGATAACCAAATGGTGAACACTTTTCGCAGACTGTCAAAGTTTTTTCATAATAGACTGTAGAAAGATCATACTTTCTTATCTCACTATAACACAATGCCATATTTCCATACAACTTTGCAACATGGATTTCGTTATTTGGCATAATATTTTCTTTGGTCTTTATCGCTTTTGTGAGATATTGTATGCGTAAATTATACTCATTTTGTATACTGTTGTACATTACAATCCTTATGTATAGCTCTGACACCTTTTTAATGCGTTAACTGATGAACACTTTTGATAACTGATGATAGTGTTTCAGACTAGCATGTATATGATACAATAATATTTCAAGATGTATGCCCAGAAGAATTTCTCTCGTATTGACCATGCCATTTTATGATGTCGTAATGCTAAACCAAAATCTTTTGTTTTTCGATAACAGCATCCATCGTTATAATGAAGGATAGTTAAACTGACATGCTCAGTTGGATGCATTGTTTCGTCCATATCTATTGTTTGTTTATAATGCAACATGGCTTCTTCAAAGCTATTTTGTTCGCAGGAAACGTTTGCAATGTCTGCGGGGTTCATTGCTATCTTGTCTAAATTTTATATAGGTCTCAATTATAATGCCTTGAGATGGCATTACGTAGCACTTTTGAATTCACCAGCTTTTCAGGTATGATGGTAGAAACATGATGAAGAAAAACAATGACTCACCGGGGTTTTGCAAGTGAACAACAGTAGTGCTAGAATGTTCGTAACACATCATCTGTCAAGAAGCGTTCTCTAGGTTTACTTCTATTAAATGAAGCGATTGAATCATGTATAAATAATATACGATAGAGGACGATTAGGTGATTTTCAAAGGTATATGAGCAGAGTTTGACAAAAATAACCTCTGAGCATTACACCTTGAGCAATGAAGAAACAAGTGAGACATAGTGTCATCTGGATGTCCACAGCACAACTCAAATCTAACACCGTATTTCTTCTTTTAAAACTCGTGTGTAATCGATTAAATCCTATTCTATCTTTCGAAAAACCGAAGGGTTTTATATGAAATAATTCAAATATCCGGAAAGGCATTTTCTAAAACCGACAATCGAATATCCTGATATGTTTTAGGTTTTGGAAAAAGTTTGAGAAAAAAGAGTTTTCGGTAATACCTTGTTCGGTATTCGAGGATACCGTTTTGGGTATGCGAAAGTTTTTTGTTTTTTTCAGGGTTTTCGAAAGTTCGTACGCTGCTACGTATATTCTCAAGTATGGAAAGGAGTTTTTGATATGATTCCGAATACGGAAAACAGTTTCGAAAGAGCTTTCGAAGCGTTTAGGGTTTTCTAATATACGCCTTTTTTTAGAGTGTACTATATATGGTCTAATAATATCTGCTCGAAAACTATAACTCTTTCATTCAGATTATTGTAATTCTTTTTAAAGAATCACCGTGTACTGATCAAGAATCTCCCTAGTACATCATAACATGGAAGAATTTATTTTTGGTTAGAAAGTGTTTTTTCGCTGACCAGAGTCTCTGAGGAAGCATACAAATCGGTATTGTGGCAACAGAAAAGTGCATAGTTCGCTTCAAAGATCAGAAATATTGGAAAAATGTGTTTTTGAAAAACCTGGTTTTTTCGTGTAATTTGTATTTTTTAAACTGCTGTATACTCATTTCAGAAATTTTATTTGTGCATTTTATAGAGGGAACAATTCTGCATAAAACAGATATAACAAGAATTTTTAAAATCTAGCTGTTTTTGGAGGATCACAGGTTAGTCGCGTCATATTCGTAAAACGGGCACTTATTACAAAAAAACTTCTTCTTTATTGTGTGCTCAACTTTGTTTGATAAAATACTATTATATGCGTTATCTGCGAACAAAAGGTCATCGAATGTGATATCAGTCAACGTTTACATAATGATACTAGTCATTAAGCATTCAATCCTTGCTACTATCTGTAAAAAAAAATAATCGGTTATTTTTGAATAATTGTTGATTGAAAAATGACAAAGACTTACGATTTTCAACATTCGATAGCTAAGATCTGACCGCATCTTCTCTGTACCAAAAACTTTTTGAAAGTCTGGTCTCTAGGTTGTGCACCTGACAGACCTTTAAAAGATGCGCTTCCAAAAAAACGTTTTTCCGTACTTAACTTTCCAGTTAAGTGAAAATACGATATCTGTTTAGTACTTTGACAATTGTTCTATATGGGTATATTTTTGAGAAACTTCTCAATCGCTCATTTTGAAGCGTGGAAAACTTCCTATCATTCTATGTGTGGACTTTGGTCAATGTCTTTGAAATCTTACGGAACATTTGAGGAACAAAGTGAATGGCGTTCGGATCAGGAGCAATTTTTGATAGTCAGAAGTGTTGGGAAGTGAAAAAGGAAGCATTCTGGTAATTTTCACACAAAATCATATTGGGCCATTTTCTCGCAGAAACCGTTTCCCGTTGTTTCTTATCACCCTAAGTATAGTTAGTCATCTTTGGCCATAGTGTCTAAGATGTACTTCGCTCCTAGTATCGAATCAACTTAACAAAGACATTCTATATTGGTCAATTCTATTATTATTGGTCTATTCTATATTGGTTTACGCTTAGTTTGAATTTATGTGGATTACTAGTCCGAAAATGTTAAGTTTTCAGCAACTGTGACTTACTTGCGAACTGACAAAATTTCCTACAGGATTTGTAGGGTACGTGACATTTTACTAGCAGTATGTGCTCTAAAAACCTAATTCAGCAGAAAGCGCACAGGAAGTTTTGACTTTTACAAAATCGAGGTATTGATACAAAATCATGTTTCTTCGACCCTGGTTGTTCAGTTTAGTTTTAGTTTTATTTATTTAGCTTAAATCAAAGCAGGGAAACAGGAAAAGCCCTCGGCTTGTAAATATTACTCCCAAAAATCTTTATAAATATGAACGCACAAAAAAACAAAACAAAAATAAGATACAATAAGTGGCAAATAAAGTAGAAGAACCGTTTAAAACATCCAACAGAACAATAAAACAATCACATTTGGTCACGGAGATGAGCGCGTAGACGAGCTTTAAAGACTGGTAAAGAAACAACAATGGCATTCGAAGAGTTAGCAGGATCAGGATTGCTAATGACGTGCGGCGGAAGCATGTTCCACTGGTCCGCTGTCAGATAGAAGAATAATCCCTGTACACTTTTCTTTGATGTAAAAGGAGCGTGTAAAAGGATTTTGATTTAGTCGAAGACTGGCTCTTGTGTGACGCATGGAAATGATAAAGCAGAAAAAAATGATATAATGGAAATCATATATTCTTAATTTCGTTCGACTTCAGGAATAAAGTTTAAATCAAATCTTAAATAAAACATCAAACTAAACAACCAGCAACCTTCAGAGATGTCCAAGTAATTTCATACTACTCCTCATTGCACTGTCTATTTTTATTCAGTAAAAATCGCATTTTAATGTCTGTTGATATAGTTTTTTTTCCCATTTTGTCAGTCTTAATTCATCTTTATGCAAGATTTTGACTAACAAAGACGTTCCTAATAAGAGTATTTGTGAAAGTGAAAATATGAACACATTAGTAAAAACAACGTTTGAATTGATCACTTAGTGCTTTTGTGTGAAAAAAGATGGTTGTATTAAACTTTATTTTGTGACGTAATGATGCGGAGAGCCCAATGAAAGGGAGAGGAGATAAAGTCATTTTTTAGGAGGGCAAACTTTTTTCCGACTTTTTGACTCTTCTCAGTATTTTGCATTTTTCTCCCTGAAGATGGACTCGAAATCAAAAAATAAGGTAATATTCGTGATTAACATGAAAAACTGAATCAGAATATGTGCTTTTTACTGAAAAAGCGAATCCACTCAGCTTTTGAATTAGCGGCACCATATAACTTGGTTAAAAATATTTTTCTAATTTTGTTGTCGTGCCGTCCTCTACATCACAATTTCCTCCTGTTCGACTTCCAGACGGTATTTGAACGTTACTATAACGGCCATTCGGAAGTAATACCTAAAGAAAAAAAGAGTTATTTCCTTAGAGCTGTGTAGGAGGAGATTTGAAGCTCTTTGTAAGTTGGTATCATCATACTCTAAATA